ATAAAAAATAAAAAGGTAGGGATGGAGGGGGCTTGGGAAATAGCTCAGTGCGAAGGCTCTGGGTCCAATCACTAGTACAAGAGGAAAAAAACAAAAAACTGTACAGCTAGGGGCTGGTGAGACTGAGCTGGCCACACACACACACACACACACACACACACACCCAAATAAATAAATTAAATTAAAAAAAAAAAAAACTGTACAGCCCTTAAAATATACCAATGTTTCCAGTCTTCTTGCTTTATTTTATTTACTTATGTACTTGGTTTTGAGGCAGGGTCTTACCATGTAGCCCAAGCTAGCCTCAAATTCACCATTCCCCTATCTTAGCCTCTCTCATGCTAGGATTCCAGATGTCACCACACTTGGCCCAATGTTCCATTTCCTAAAATTTATTCAAAATTTCAAAAATTGGGGCTGGGGAGATAGCTCAGTAGAATAAGCACTTGCCTGGCAAGCACTAGGGCCTAAGTTCAATTCCCAGTTTTGCGACAAATAAATAAGTAAATAAAATTAAATTTCAAAAATCATGTTTTTCCCTGAAACACCAATGAACATCTCCAAAATACTAGTATTACTTAGATTTTTTTTGTCGCCAGCTCGGCTCGCTCTGGAGGTGGAGCTGGCATGGCATGTGGTGCTGGGGACCAAACCACGGTCCCTGTATTTGCCTAAGCAGGTGCTTTAGACCCCTGAACTATTTCACTAGCCCCTACAACTCAATTTGGAAAACAATTATTGTTTCCAGTACTGAAGGTTGAACCCAGGGTCTTCACACTGAGATACATCCCTAACCCTTTTTCATTCTAAGACAGGGTCTCATTAAATCACTAAGTTGGCCAGGATGAGTTCAAACTTGTGATCTTCTTGCCTTAGCCTCCTAGAGTGCACCACCATGCCCAAACTATTGTGGAAAAGTTATTGTAGGGCCCTCTGTCTCTTGTCTTCTTCCCTCTAGGTTTCCCATCCATCCCACACACCTGTGCTTCCTGCGGCAGCAACTGTTATAGTGGGGAGCTCTGTGCAGTGCACTCTGGGTGATAAGTCGAGTCTGGGTTAGCAGAGGAGCCTGGTACAAATGAGAGACCAAGTTAGGGCTCCAGAGGCAAGAGTTCTTCAAATGCATTATGTGCAGCGAGGTCCTCCTTTGAAAACATTCTTCCCCCTTCTCTGATTACCTCAGATTTGGTCTCTTCCCTCTTCGATTCATTCTGTGGTCTTGGATTTTGCCCCATTTCTTTTTCTGGCTGCTTCTTACCATAGAAAAGCTGCAGGCCTGAGGAGAAAATGAAAGATAATTAAAAGCATAGCAGCAAGGATAGTCTGCAGAGCTGATATTCTGTCCTGTCTTCCCTGAGACTTACTAGATAAATGTTTCTTGCCTCCACGGTGGGCAGTCAGCATGGCCAGTGTGTCTAGCACAGGTCGATGAGGACAGATGGCACAAGCAAAGCTGAGAAGGGAGAAGATAATTAGCTCAAGGAGTTAGGGGAATTTTGCCTGGGGGGCGGGGGGTGGGTCCACCTCTGCCTTAAAAGTCCTTTCCAAGGTTCATCTTCCAGGTTTCCCAGTCTCCACTTCTAGACTTCACTTCCCGCCAAAAAACAAAACAAAAACTTAGATATCTCTGCTCCCCTTCACAGCGAAAGTTCGTTGAGGGTCTAACTGTAGAACCTTCGGGTTTAGTTTATCCCTCGCCTCACCGTCCATCCCGTAGCATCAGCGCCTCATCTTCTGGGATATAACTGGCCAGCAAGTCCCCAACTCTTCGTTTCTGCAGGGGGTTGGGAAAGAAGTCCAGATAAATCAGCAACGTAGGACGGATGGGAGGAAAGGAAATAATCGGAATAAAGGTAAAAGAAATAAGGATCATGCGAAGAACAGCAGTCATATGGAGAAGTGATCACTACCCAGTTCTGGTTCTGACTACCCTTCCCCAACAGTTGCCAGAGCAACAAAACAAAGCTCCTTCAGTCTTCAACCGGCAAGTGAAGCTGTTCCAGACCTTTTCTACTCGGGCTTACTTTGAGCACATTGAGCTGACTCCAATCGTCTCCTTCCCTCTTGAAAGACATCACGACTTTGAATCACAGAAATGATACATTCTCTCTGGGCGACCTCGCAACTCCTTCGGGCCACCGTAGGAGTGGTACCTCTCGTTTTCTTCTTCCTGTCTCTTTCCGTTTGGTTTTCGTACTTCCGGAACGCGTTTCCATACATGCACTGCGCGACCCGGAAAGCCCGCCTCCAGCGTGCTACCAGGACTACGTTTCCCATGGTGCCCTGCGACACCCCCCCCGCAGATGCGTAGCCTTTTGGGAAATGTAGTCTTTTTCAAAAAATTGCCGCTCAACTGGATCCTGGCCCTCGCATTTTGGCAGATTAGAGGCTTTCTGAGAGGCTAGAGCCTAGGTGTGGAGCCGGAGTTTGAGGGTGTGACCTGACCGATGCGCAGCAAGCCCTTGAGAATCTCAGACTGGAAAGTGTACTACAAACTCGAAATCCTCGCGCGTTTCGTCTGCCACAGTCTACCTGCGGTGGGCCCAGTTTGTTCCTGACCCTAGCGGATGAACCCCGGAACGAGGCGGAGCCAGGATATGTGGGCGCCCTGAGGCCCAGCTACCCGACTTGGGTTAAACTGATGAAAAGTGTGTCTGCGGTTCAAAGGTCAGAGGTCAGTGTAGTGAGGGGGTCAAAAGTCAGAGGGGTACTAAGGGGCGTCCACGACAGGGACCAAATACTCGGGAGACAGATGTGTGTGTAAGGCGCTGGGAGAAAGGAAGGAGAAGCCGGGAGGGAAGAAGGTGGACGTAGTGCGAGGGGAGCGGCGAGACTCTGGAGAAAGAGACGGGGGAGAGGAATTCCTGAATATCCATTCCCAGAGTTCAGGCCGTCACTGTCGTTCTTAGCCCGGCCTTTCTCAATTGCAAGCCCCCCTGTGTGAGGAGATGGCTTCTCCCTCTAGACAGCCGCCCTTTGGGGGATCAGGGCTGCTTCAAGGGACCCGGGCTCGTTCTTATGGAAGCCTGGTGCAATCAGCCTGCTCCCCTGTGAGGGAAAGACGCCTGGAACATCTACTGAAGCCTGGAGACACGCTGGCTGGGCTAGCGCTCAAATACGGAGTGACGGTGAGTCTTCCAGGATTGTGGTATAAATAACCTTTTAGGGAAGATTGAGTCCTAAAGAGAATGTAGAGCTCATTTTAGGCGATCTCCTTTGACGCTTTCATAATTGTTCTGTAATACCTTTATCTGTTTTGTTTTCCCATCTCAGTGTTACACTGTCTGGTTGGGACAGATCCTATTCCACTACACCAATAGAGAAGAGCGGCTCCTATTTATTATGCCAGATACCATGCTTTATGTATAACATATTAACCTATTTGAGCCAAACACCCCTATCAAGTATACAACTATTGTGTTTTTTGAAGATGAAGAAACTTGAGACATGGTTAACCAATTTGACCAAGGTCAAATAACTGAGTGTCAGAGTTGGAATTCAAAAAGATCTGTCTGACTCTAAAGTTACTATTAACACAGAGAAAAAAAAATTAATTGAGAGGGATTAAATATTTACAGCAAATGGTGAAGAGCTGTTTTTTAGTTCTAAGTCCCTAAAGGGTCTATCTCTTGTTCTTGTTTCCTAATTGTAAGGTGCTGAACAGGTCCTCTCTATTTCAATTATTTCAGACCATATCTAGAGAGTAAAAATAGAGATCTAAAAATGTATTAGCTCACTTTTAATAACTTTTTTTTTGGGGGGGGGCCAGGGTTTCCATATGTAGTTCAGGTTGGTCTTAAGCTCATTTTGTAGCCGATAAATTGTATTTTATTTACATTTAATTTTTTTTTCTTTTCTTTTTTTTTTTTTTTTTTTTTTTTTTTTTTTGAGACAGGGTCTTGCCATGCAGTTCAGGCTGGCCTTGAACTCACTTTGTAGCCCAGGTGGCCTTGAACTCACAAAACTGGCTTCCTACCTCAGCCTCCCCAGTGCTGGGATTAAGGTGTGCACCACTACACCAGGATAAAAAAATAAAAATATATTACATTAATGTTCTTCAGATTTTCCCCAATTTCCAGCTCTATTTACAGCAGTTGTTGGATTTAACCAGCACTTTTATGCTTGCTGTATTTAAAGCACTATGGTAGCTCTTCTTGGAGAGTTAAATGTACAATTGCTGTGTTCATTGAATTTTCAGTCTAGTAATGAATGTACAGGGACGCAATGATACAGTAGAATTTGGTGAGTTTGTGTCTGTATTAAGGGGGGAAATCAGAAAAGATTAATTTTTACCTAAAAGGGAAAAGGAGTAGACGTCAGTGCAGGTTTAAAAGCTGTTATTGGGGGCTGGAGAGATGGCTCAGTAGTCTAAAGCACCTACTTATAACAAGCTTAGCAAAGCACAGGGAACGTGGTTCAATCCCCCAGCACCACATGCCAGCCAGCCCCGCCCCCTGGTGGGCTGAGCTGGCCACACACACACACACACACACACAATAAATGTAAAAATAAATAAATTAAAAAAAAAAAAGCTGTTATCACTATGGACCTTGAAAAGCTTAGAAACTTCTGTGTTCGCTTTATAAATCTATGCAGTACAGGTGTTTGCCTTCCGATGACCTCTGTGCTCCTCAGGAGTAGAAACCATTTCCTTTCTGTTTGGGGGCAGTGTACTTGAGGATCCAGTCCAGGGGCACTCTACCACCGAATTATACACATCGTTAGCCATCACCCCACCATGTACATTTTTTTTTTTTTTTTTTTTCAGAACCGGGGATTGAACTCAGGCCCTTGCGCTTGCCAGAGAATTTTCAAAGTGGTTTTGTTTTTTGTTTTTTTTTGTTGTACATTTTTTTTTTTTTTTTTGAGACTGAGTCTTGGTATGTAGTTCAAGCTGACCTCGAACTCATGGTGATGCTCCTGTGTCAGCCTCCTGAGTGCTTGGATTACACATTTCTGACAGCCTCCTGAGTGCTGGGATTACAGGTATCTGACACAATGACCAGTAGAACTATTTCTTTTCAATTTTGTGTATTTAGATTCCAGCATAGTTATCAGCAAATAGAAGATGAAGAGACCATCCCTTTTTGAGAGCCTATTAATGATACAGAACAATAAAATACATTTTGGTACGTGCATATAACATTTTGATTTTTTTTCCTTTTCTTGATTTTTGCCCCTATTTCCCCCTCTTCCTTTGTTCCTGCCTCCTCCACCCCCTTTATTTTTTTTTAATTATTTATTTATTTATTTATTTATTTGTGTGTGTGTGTGGCCAGCTCAGCCCACCAGGGGGCGGGGCTGGCTGGCATGTGGTGCTGGGGGATTGAACCGTGGTCCCTGTGCTTTGCTAACCTTGTTCTAAGTAGGTGCTTTAGACCACTGAGCCATCTCACCAGCCCCACCTCCACCCCCTTTACATTCTCAAAAAATTTGCCTTATTTATTTTACCTCTTCTTAATTTATTGAAAGATTTTTTTTTAATGAATGAAAATATGAGGAAGTGGGCCGGCAAGATAGCTCAGCAGACTAAACTCAGGCACAGGGACCAGGGTTCCAATCCCTGGCATCACATACTGCACCGGCCCCACCCCTCGGTGGGCTGAGCCTCACACCAAACAAGGCATGGTGGTGCATGCCTGTAATCCCAGTGCTGGGGAGGCTGAGACAGGAAGATCACTGAGTCTGAGCTATGTAGTGAGACCCTGTACCAAATACATAAGAAAATGCGAAGAAGTTATTTATACATGGAAATTGGGAATGTAGGAAAGAAAACATTTCCAGCTAGCATGGTAGCACACTCATGTAATTCCAATGCTCTGAAAGACTGAGGCAGGAGGATTGCACATTTGAGCCATGCAGTTAGTGACTTTGTAAGATCCTGTTTTCAAAACAAAAAATAAATGAAAAGGGCTGTAAGTATAGTCCAATGTAAAAGTCCTGGTTTTAATCCCCAATTTTAATTTTTTTTTTTTTAAAGCCAAAGAAAGAATGAAAGAACATTTTGAGTTGAAGGGATAGCCTTCATCACACTATGAAGTGGGTGTGAAAGTACAGAGCAACCTCTGGCCTCAGCAGGGGCTCATAAATTGTGTTGTGAGAACTGAGAGCTGGGCTTGGTAGACTCAAGTTTGAGCCATCCTTAGTAATTTAAGGACTTGGGGAGACTCTCTCAAACAGTACCTACCTAGCCTGAGCAAACCCCTGAGTTAAATCCTCAGCATAGAAGAGAGAGAAAAAACAACAACTGGGTAATGTAGGGAACCCTTAACTGACTGTTCCCTTCCTGCTGCCCCCATGCTGGGGATTGAACATAAGACCTCCTGCATGCTAAGACAATACTCAACCACTGAGCTACATAGCAACCCTTTTGAAATAGGCTCTCACAAATTGCCCAGGCTGGCTTCCAATTTATGATCCTCCTACATCAGCCTCCTAAGTGGCTAGGATTAACAACATGTGTCACAAAATGTCTGGTGTCTGAGACTGTCCTATAGCCCTGGGAAAGCTCTGGAGTCTAAGAAGAAGTTTGCCATCCTCAAGGCTCATTGCAATGCAGATTTCTAAACCCTCCTTCTCCTCTTTCTCTATGGGGTAGGGTCCCAGAAGTTTTTTTCTGGTTCCTTTGATTTTCTCAGTGAAGCAGGAGGCGTATTTATTGATTGTGAGAATGGGAAGAGGTGGTTTTGGAGAAGTGAGTATCATTTCTAGGAGAGTAAAGGGAATGACTGAATGAATAGGGTACACCAGATGAGTGCTAGCAGCATTGATAGCACAAAAGAATCATAAATAAAGGGATGGATGGCAGGGGAAAAAAAGAAGAGTTTTGTATTGTGGTTCTGTTCTGTTTATGGACTGAATCACTGCCCCTGTCTGGAAACCCAGTGCCTAACCTTTATGAAATGAGGAAAATGTATTAAATATTGCTAATTTTTTTAAAATAATGCTAATTGTTTAAGTTGTTACCTACCTATCAATTAAGGAACACAATATATTATCAAGCTTTATACATGAATTATCTCATGTTATCTTCATAAGAATATGAGATAGGTATAATTACTCCTATTTAAAGATGAAGGGTCCAACAAAATAGCTCTGCAGACTAAGCGCCTGCTTTGACAAATGCAGGGACCAGGCAAATGAGTCTGGGCATGGTGGTGCATGTCTGTACTCCCAGTGCTAGGGAGGCTGCAAAACAGGAGGATCACTATGAATCTGAACTGCATAGTGGGACCCTATACCAAATACGTAAATGAAAAAATAAATAAATGAATAAATAAAGATGAGGAAGCGAGTGTCGTGGTGTATGCCTGTAATTCCAGCACTTGGGAGGCAGAAGCAGGAGGACTGCTGTGAGCTTGAAGCCAGCCTAGCTAAATAGTGAGTTCAAGGCCAGCCTAAATGCATAGGGAGAGCCTATCTCAAAATAAAAGTAAAAGGGCTGAGGATGTTATTCAGTGTAAAGGCCCTGGATTCAACTCCCAGTATTTATTATTATTATTATTATTAATTTTTTTTTTTTTTGCTGCTCAGGCTGCTTTATTTTTTTTTATTTGAGAGAGAGAGAGAGAGAGAGAGAGAGAGAGAGAGAGAGAGAG